TTTGCGTTATTCTTTTTCGTTACATAGCTTGGTAGTTGATACTTGATACTCATATAAATACTTGTACAACTTCGAATTTTGTTCTATCGAATCACTCTCGTATATGCTTCTAAATGTAATATTACAGTAGGATTTTATAATTGGATGATGCGTCTCGCATTATAGTCATTTAGGACGCTTGTAGTATTAATTATTATAGCCTATTAGGACACTTGTTTAGTATTACTTATTTCATTTTATAGGACACTAAAATTTGTTTCATAAAACCATTTTTTGGGACATTGAATTTCGTCCTATAAAAACATTTTTTTGGGACGCCCATATTTGTTTCTAAATGTAAACATTTTGTGACAACATAAAGTGTCCTCCTATATTATAGTCTATTAGGACACTTTTTAGTGTTACTTAAACTATTTTATAGGACTATGGGTTTAGTATCATAATCCTAGAGTTTTTTAGGACACTCAAATTCATCCTATTAACCTAATACAACACCTTTAGATGAGACACACACATTTTTTGTCCTATAAACTTAAAAGTCCTATTAACTACCTTATTAGGACACTAATGAGTGTCCTATAAAGCCCTTTTTGTTGTAGTGTATCTTTATCAATTAAAGTAAGTATGTCTATGACATGTTGAAGAAGTTTGATTAATCAAACAGTTCATCTATGAAGACTCCAATGGCTCCTCCACTCTCTCTCAGATCCAAATAGAAAGCCTGTAAACGTAACTGTTTATAGATGAATGATCGGCTCTCTGTTGTATCTAATAGCTAGTCGACCAGATATCATGTACTCTACCTGCTTATGTGCAAGATGTCAAGCTGAACCTAAGGAATCCCATCTGATTGCTGTAAAATACATTTTCAGATATTTTAAGGGAACTCCTAACATAGGCTTTGGTACCCTAAAGGTTCAGGTTTTGACCTAATAGGTTACTCGGATAGTGATTTTGCAAGTTGCAAAATTGATAGGAACAGCACCACTGGAGGCTGTCAGCTTCTAGATGGAAAGTTCGTGAGTTGGACAAGCAAGAAGCAAAACTCAGTGTCCACATCAACAGCTGAAGCTGAATACGTAGGTGCTGGAAGTTGTTGTGCCCAAATTCTTTGGATGAAAACCAGCTGATGGACTATGATCTTCAGTTTTCAAAAGTTTCTATTTATTGCGATAGCACTAGTGCTATTGCAATTGCAAATAATCMTGTACTWCACTCCAAGACCAAACATATAGAGATCCGATATCATTTTATCAGAGATCATGTTATGAATGGTGACATTGAACTTCACTTCGTTCCAACTGAGTACCAGCTCGCTGACCTTTTCACCAAGCCTCTTGATGAGACAATATTTAATATCTTGATCAGCGAATTGGGGATGCTAAATGTTGAAGAATAATCTTCAGCTATTAACATCCTTCAGTAAGTGAAATGATTCAGTGTCTATCTCTGACACTGAACTCTTGAGTAAATGTATCTATTCTCTTTATGGTATGATTACTTATCTCTTTTCTTCAAAACTTAAAACCTTCACTGAAGCCTTTCTTCTTCAGTGACTAAAATGTTTTAAAAGTTGGTTTCAGTGATTCTTTTATCACTGACCATATAAATAAGTATATCTCTAGTATACTTATTGTTTCTGAAAAATCAAAATAATAATTGAATCCTTTTTGTTCAGTGATTCAATTATTATTATTTTTAAATGCCAGGATCAGTGATTCTCTTATCACTGAAACTGAAGTCTTAAAAACTATCACTGAAGCCTTTCTACATCAGTGATAAAACTGTTTTAAAAGGTCTTTTCAGTATTTTGTTAAACACTCAATGACTCTTCGTTTTCTTAAAAATCTTTTCTTTTTAAAAGAAATAGTTAATGAACCGTCTTTATGACAACATTTTCTATTTACAATGCACAACGCTTTGAGATGCGCAAAAAGGTACTGTCATACGCTACCTC